GACCTGTCATGTCAGGACATGATGAAAACGCAGGAAGCTACGCTGCTCCTTGTTGATTTCCGGACACCATTCAAAGACTAAATTGCGATCCACGTCGGTGTACCGGACAGCAGAAAATGTGGAAATTATGAACATCCTCTCGGGAAAAAAATCCTAAATTCATCCGCTAGATGTTCACTTTTCTCTACTGCTTAAGGCCATGTAGAAACGTTTCATTACGTACGTATATGCCCACGAGATTGATTTTTCATTATGGCCTGAGATTCCTTACTCAAGTACCTTTTGCTTATTAACTTTGCGAAGTAAAACGTCCTCGAGGAAGGCCACCGACCAGATGGGCTGACGTGTTCGTTGCACGGATGAACCAGCTGAATTCTCAGCTCGTAACGAGAATGGACCTAGACTTCGAGAATGTTGCCGCCGCACTTCAATACCAACATCGTGGATGACGCTAGCGAGAGACAGGAACGAATGGAAACAGTGCTGTGGCCTGCACGACAAGTGAAGACAGGCCATCTAAGTATCTAACTAAGTAAGCATCCCACTATCCATTTTTCTTGCTTGGGCTTGCAGATATCCATCAAATAACGCACTGTTACACACCAATCGCACTCAAATGAACTAAATCTGGCTGGTCCGTAAGGTAAGACTCCCTCTCGCTCTAACTCCTGACACTATCCGGAATTACTTACATGTAGTTCATTACTTGCTCTCGTGTCGGAATTTCTTACGCTCTTACACATCAGACTCTTTCCAAAGACATATCGAAATACTTCTGCAAAAGCTCATGCCTTAATCTTTCAATTTCTAACATTCACTTTTTGTATGATTGCCGTCATTACCTTGCATTGCTTGAATCACGAGTAAAAGAAGTTGCTAGAGGTAATCACACTATATATTTTCACTTATACCGTCAGTTCATCTTCTTAGGCTGACTGGCAAAGTGTTGAAAAGAAGTTTTGACATTGTAAGTTGTCTACCATGATTATCTAGATTGTTGAGGGAACTTGAATTTTTGCTCATTGTAGGAATCTGTAGTGTAATGTAAGTACTTAGTAATCCTCGCTCTCTTGCTGCTTAGAAAAAGTTCGTCGAATAAAGTGAGCATCATGCATTAAGTGGAATAATCCAGATAATCATTCATCTTGCTTTGAGACAACTACTCTTCGGCAACAACTTTGTATTACCTTCATTTGGCCATAAACTCGATAACTGATGGAAGAGGAAAAGGCAAATGATAAAAATTTTGAAAGTAGCTAAAAAGTCTGTTGAAACCCCTTCCATTCATGGACATATGGAAGATGTACATAAAATTAGTATCAATAAACAAAAACTGCTTGAAATTTTTTAAATGATATTAATTTAAGAAAAAAAGATATAATGCTACTCTACATTGCGTTTACGTTGGGACATGTTTTTTATAAAGACAAATGTGCACAGGCGCTAAGTAAGATGGATATTTTTGAAGATAAACTTTAGGACGAATCATTTTTCATACTGGATTGCAATAATTTCGGG